TATTTCAACCCTCTCTCCCTCTCATCGCTCGGGAGAGCGCGCTCTCGCTATACCATTCGTGTGTGTCCGTGTGTGTGGAGATTTTGGAAGAAAAAAAAAGAAAAAGGCTCGATTGATAATACGTTTTGGACGGAATGGATGATGGGACTCTCACTTTTTTTTTTTTTTTTTTTATACTAGCCGATGCATAGGGCTTGCCCGAATCTGTATATCTTGGCCCACTGCATATTTTGATGATTTGTGGGTCATAACTTGGCAGTACTTAAAAAAGCCATGATTCCCGAGAGACGGCATGGCAAAGCTCAAAAGTGTAGAGCCACAGAGCGGAGTATGCGTGCGTAGGTATGAAAAAGAGACCGAGCGAGCTTCGCAATTTCGTCGGGACGGCAAGTGCAACGAGCCAAATATGGGTCGCTCAGTCGACGGAGGCGCTAGGCTGCAGCGCCATCGGCACATACGTATATATATACATGTATGAGGAGGAGGAGGAGGAGGAAGTGGGCACAGGTTCCCCATGCTCAGCTCGCACTGGTTTGTATCTATATATACGTACCTACATAGCATGTATAATAGGCGCAGCGGTGGTATAGGTACGAGCGACGCGAGCGAAATAGGTGCAACAGTAGTGCGACCGAGCGACCTAGTCTTTAAAGATGTATACCTATACCTCGTTGTATATATATATATANCAATGAGCTCCTCCATCCGTCTCTTATTTATTTTCTCTTTTGTTTTTTTTTTCCGCTTCATCGACGACTTTTCTACCTCGTACCGTGCGATCTCTTTGTTCCTCAATGTGCGACGCTAAGCTCGTTCGTGCACCGCACACGCGAAATTCACAGGTATGGATGTAACTCGCTCTCAGCTATATACACTCAAACTCCACTCCTTCCGCGTTCTTCTTCTTCTTCCCTTTCCATCTTTCTCTAGAGCTCAGGTCCTGCATATGGGACTCTACAGCGCGAAACAGAGAGACGGACGGGGCAGCACGGCACCGCTAGCGGCTAGGTCAGCCCAGGGAGAGATACTTATCCTTCGAATGCACAACCCATATATATTATACTCGGCTGCTTTGCGTGCGAATAAAAAGGCCCGAGCGGCCTGCTTTTCTCTCCTCCGTGTCTTTTCCTTTTTTTTCTCTTTCGCGAATCAAAACTTTTTTTTCCCCCCTATACCAGATGCGGATGGTTGTCGATTTTTGAGTTCTCCTTGAGCCAGCAACTCGAAACCCTTAACTTCCCTTACCGTGGAAACAATGTATTTTAAATTGACCCAAAAAAATCATCCGAGTTGATAACCCAATCATAGCGGGCAGCGTTACGCTCGGCGTATGGAACAATTATCAAAATAACATTAAAAAAGTTAATTTCCCGATCGATCCCTCCATATACACGTAGGCCCTTCCCCAATCCGGCCAGTGGGAAAACTTTAAGTATACATAGAGATACCCGTCCAACGGTTACCTCGAGTAACAATAATATAGAGACAATCGGCTTGGAAGCGGCGAATAGAGGCGAAGAAGTTGGGAAACCCCCTCGAATCAACCGACACTTTTTCCCTCGGCGCATGGGGCGCGTGGAAACTCGGTCACTCCTGGGGAAATCGATAAAGGGCATAATGTTCTCCCCTCCTTCTCTCTCTCTCTTGACAATCGTGTGGAGAAGTACAATTTTTTTTTTTTTCCCAGACCGAAAGCGCGTGATTAATGACTAACGCGTTTGTACTAGTTTGGGTGTAAGCGATGGATAAATTGGGTCGTTACGAAATTTTTCCGTTTGTTACCCGAATTTGTTTTATTCGTATATACGATATAAGGGGGACGCCGAAAACCACGCGGTATAGCCTCGAGTTTCCCGAAAAATCTCCCCGTAACTTTCTCTTGAGGTTTCCTTTGAAGAGTTCCGCCAGCGCCGGCATAATACATATACCTGGACGCCCTGCATCTTTGGGTCACAACAAGCAAACAGACACACACACATAATTTTGCGGCCCACCGCCGAAAGGGATGGAGTTACGTATATATGTATACCTGTTGCAGCCTCACGCGGCGCCCTAATCTCCTTGCGTCCCGCAGTCCCGGGGTATTGTTGTGTTTACGTGTAACATACCTAAGGCCTCCCTCGCAGCAGGTATATATATATATATATATATATACGTATGATACAGTAGCTCTCCCTTGAGCGGTAAGAGTACCCTTCAAGTGGGGGAGAAAGGGAAAAAAAAAAGTATATCAAAGGGAGGAAAAAAGGCCACGGCTGTTGGACGTCTCGGTTTGACCTCCGCGAAATAATCGANATTTTTTTTTTTTTTTCTCGATCGCGGGGAAAAGTCGACCTTTGAAAGAGGAGTTGATGAATCGGCTCTTTTGGTACACGACCACGCGAGAACCGAAGGGTACGGTGGAAATTTTTTGTTCCCTTTCATAATTTCTACCGTCTCTACACAAGTAGGTGTAACATATTACAGGCGTCTTCGTGAGAGGAGGAAAGGATGCAAGAGATATTGTCTGTTTTTCTTCCCTGATGTGATAATCATATTTGCATTGATGGTAGTTGTGATGGTACAAATGGAAAAGAAAAAAAAAAAAAAACAATTGTTTAGAACAGCCCCATTGGAGAAAATATATTTGAATTCATCGTGATTACTCGTGCACATTGGGCCAAAATAACAAAAAAGAGCCATTACACCGATGCAGACACGATGCGTTCAGCGTCGCGGTTGAAGCGCATCTGACGAGAGAGAGGGGGTCTAGCGGTGCACACCTGGCGCGTCGCTCGGTCCTCGGCGAACTGCCTCGCCGAGCGCCGTGGCCGCCGCAACCGCTGCACTCCACCTCGAGAAGAGGGGAACACCCGAGTAACCCACACACGTGCAGCGCACCCCACCACCAGGCGTCGGGAACGACGACTTTCGCGACGATGGCTTATCCCCCCCTTCTCCTCTGGGCTCTCCCAGGGCTGCGCCAGACGAAGACGGAGCGACGGGCTCGCGAGGACGTTGACTCGGCGCGAGCTCGCGGCCTTCGACGCGGCCCCCCTTTTCCCCTCGACGCGCTTCGGGACACCCATACCAACGCGAGAGAGCGAGTGCACTCGTTTTTTATACCCACCTATACAAACGTATGCGCGTTGAAATGAAAATTTCGGTTTTTTTTCGGTCCCGCGCTCGCTTTTTTTTACGAATTAGATATGCCGTCGTTTTCAAAAGTTTATTGATTTTTCGGACTCTGGACAATTGACGCGGAAAAAACAGGAAGGAAGGAATAAAAAAAAAAAAAAAAAAAAAAATTGTGCAGAGATGACGGTATTTTAGTCGAGGAAGGAGTGCGCGGTGCATTGTGATTCGCGATTGAAAGCGCGGGGACGAGAAAAAGAGAGCGCATTCGAGGATCGGGCGGAGAGTGGATGGGAGAGATTCTTCGGAGGGCAACGAACCGCGGTGCACTGCACGCGGAGGAGAGGGACAATGACGACGACCACCTCACCGAGTGCGCTCGTTTCTTTCCATCTCGTGCTCCCACTGTTCTCCTTCTCCGGCTTCTCGTTTTGTTTATGCGCGAATTCAAATGCCATCCACGTACCTACTCTCCGATCAAGTACGGTCGTTGAGTTTTTTTACCCCCCCCCCCTCCTTCTTACATGGATTCTTTTGTTTTTTACATTGGAAAGAATCATAGGACACAACAATCGTAGAGTCTTTTTTTTCTTTCGAGACAAGTGCTTAAGAGCAAAAAAAAAAAAAAAACTTTACGAGCGGAATTTGCCCCGTGAAATGTGGCGTCTCTGTCTCACCTGGTTGCCTATAAAATAAACGCTGTCGCACGTGCTGCGAAAGATATCGATTGCGGAACAGCAGTTGGCATCCATCTCCAATCCGCTACCTGCGCTTATTGTGTTATAATACGTATACCTTCCCTATAATAGGTAGAGCCATCACGTGGAAACGGCCCATTAAGAAAATTCGCTACATATATATCCTCCTGTCTCTGGTTCATCTATTCATGCCATGAGGTCCGTGCGTATACGCGCTCGTGCGTCGGTCACGTATCGTTTTTTTTCTTTTTCTTTTTTCTCTCGTATACCAGGCCTTTTTTCTTTCTACCCTCGGACGCTGCGATTTCCGGGTTATTCGAGATGGGATTTATCTTTTTTCGGGGCTGGACTGGAAAAGCGTTGCTACCGCACAGAAACCTCAAGAGTCTTTAGTGCTCCTTTTTCGTTCTTCGCTTCGCGTGAGGAGTTTTTCGGCATAATTTTCGTCGATTCCCTTTTTAAAACAAAAAATTACCATACCCACCCGTGGACTCTCGAAGAGACATTTCGAAACGCCGCAAAATCATGGGTATTGGCGTTTCTAACTTGTAACACACGTACATTCACAAAGTAAAGAAATCCGGATGTGAAAAAGAGAGAGCTAGGGATCCTTGAGCGCCAACTTATTCTTTGGGCGCTTAAATTTAACGCGAGGGCCTTGACTGTACAAACTCGCGATTTCCGTCTCCCCTCGCTCGCGCTTTTACGCCTCTTTTCTTCCTTGCGGTCGATTACTTCTTCGCGGCCTTCAACTTGGCTACATACCCCCACCCAAGCCCCTCGTTTATACACGCACGGAGGGACACAGTCGCTCGAGTTTCCATTCACTTCCTGGCCTTCTAGTGTCGTGGCAAAGCGAGCCAATGAGCTCCTCCATCCGTCTCTTATTTATTTTCTCTTTTGTTTTTTTTTTCCGCTTCATCGACGACTTTTCTACCTCGTACCGTGCGATCTCTTTGTTCCTCAATGTGCGACGCTAAGCTCGTTCGTGCACCGCACACGCGAAATTCAATACAACTCTTTTACTCGATTTTCATTTTTTTTTTTTTTTTTTTTCCTCCTCCGGTATGAGAACCGCGTTTTGCTTCGGTACGCTATTTGACTTTTGCACTCTGGATTCGAGGAGCTCATTGCTTCGCGAGCCAAGAGAAATTTCGCATGTCCATATAGTTACGGATAATGGCTTACCTTGCATCCTTCGCAGGAGTGGACTCCGTAGTGAAAACCCGAGGCTTTGTCGCCGCAGACGCGGCACAGTACCGTGGTCCCGTCGAATTCTGGAAAAGAGAAAAAAAAAAACGACACACGTTAATTATTGCACTTTGCGAAGGAATAATCAAACCAAGCATCATTTGAATGTTTATGTGTATTTTTCTTTTGGATAGAGATGGAAACAAAAAATTCCACAATTGTATTTGTTGCGATAAAAAAAAAAAAAAAAAAGACAATTAAAATCAAATTTTTTTTTTTATGTAAGCCAAATTACGAATTAACTACGATAAGCGATAGCCCAGGCTGACACTCTGATTTCCTAGACTCGTGCAACTGTCATTAAGCTCAAGCATTTCCTTGTAATGACGTGCAGTGTCGAGGACAACGAGGTGATTTGCGTTTGAATGAATAATACTTCCCCAAAATAAGCTCACCCAAGTGGTTATCTGGCACAAACAGCCCGAAGGGGTCATCGAACTTATTTTCAAAGTGCACCAGTGCATCGCAGCAGAAACAATAGCGAGCGAGCGCTCGCACACCCCCCACCCGTCCGCGTACACGAGGCGCGTGTACAAGAGCGCGCAAAAGATAGAGCGAGAGAAAGAAGAACACTTTCTCCGCGGCTCGTGAGAGTTACAGCATCGCCGCGGCGCGTTACGGCTCTCTGCTTTCACTATCCCCCGCGACGAGATACACATCCGCGCGGGAAAACTCTCATTGCGCGTGCACGCGGGGAGATAGCGAGAAAGTCGCGGTTAGAGATTTTCTCCGATTTTTTTCTTTACACACACACACACACACACACACACACACACACACACACACATATATATATATATATATATACATGTGTGTACAGAGTCCGAGATAAGTGACGCTCGGAGTGCATCGACCTTCTTCGAGCGGCCAAGGTTAAGCCGATAAAGCTCTCGGTAACCGATAACAGGTATAGCCGCGTATATATATATGCAACAGCACACATCCATATCGAAGAAAAGGCGATACGCAGTCCGACACTTAAATACACATTATGTAATTGATATTATTATTTCTTTTGAAAGGTGGGACCAAACAGTCGATTAGCGCTACGGCGATTAACAATCGGGAAAAGATACATATACATAATATAAATTTATATACGTAGAAAAGAAAGAAAAAAAACATTAAATATAAAACGTGGGCGCTCGATCGGCTTGTGCGATTCATTATCCGTAATGGGTTTCATCACCTCGGTTTATCTCGCTCGGGCGTACTTAGATTTTGGCGTTTCCTGAATTGAGAGAACGCCTTTGATTCCACCGGCACGTGCGCGACAGCCAGATAAATTTAAATATTACCGAGTCTCCGATCAACGATTCTTATCCGGACTCGCGTTAAGCGCCTCAATTCTGGGGGAAGATGCCGCAATCGGCTCTGCACCCCCTGTATAGGCACGCGGGGGTTGATCGATCGCAAGACACGAGAGTCCGGATAATAATAAAGCTCGAGTAGACGCGATGGAAGTGCACATGTAATTCAAAAATAATGTCACGCTCTATGTCCACACAATGCGGCGGCCAGGACATTCACACCTTACCGATTTATCGGGCCCATGTGCGAGGGAGTTGTGATTAATCTGGGCACTTTTTTGTCAGTCTTAAATCTTATTAGTTTTGAAACGATCACAATTGTACCGAGACGAGAGAGAGAGAGAGAGAGAGTACAAAAAGAGAAAAGGACGTATAAAGGTATGAACGGTGGGTGTACCTAAGTTGAGATCTAGCTCAGGCCTGGCCGAGGACACCGTGGCGTCCATCGTGGGCATGGAGCTGGCCGTGGTCGAAGTCGCAGCCACCGAACTGGCCTGCCCGGCCATGAGGGCCTGCTGCTGGTACTGAGCGGCCATGCAAGTCACGGCCACGGATATCCTCGCGAGCCTGCCCTTGTCCCGCGACGTCGTGGGAGTCGTGGCCGTCGTAGACGGCGTGACCGGCGATTGGGCGGGTGACTGCTGCAGGTGCTGCATGTGGATCATAGGGTTGGTCTGTGGGGCCGCTTGGACCAGCGTAGCTCCGCTACCGCAGTGCTGCATACTGCTGTCCGGCGCGAGGATCATCTTGTCATCGGCTTACCGATCTCGATCCTCTCGTTTTTTACTTTGCTTTTATTCCTTTTCCTCAATGCTATTCGCTACAGGACTCGGCACTACAGAGGCACTGACACACTGCACTTCAACAACGGCTGACGGGGAACAACCGCATATGGCTATATATTAGGTACAATGATCAATTTGGTCCTCACTCGAGATCACTAGGAGTCACGCGTGCATCACGTGTAAAAAATCGTTATCGAAGGAACCAAACAATGAACAACAACAAAAATAATATAGGTAAAAACCACCGAAAACCATGTAAAGTAGTAGCACTGACACAAAACACACCGAATGCGACCGCGAGAGCAGTGAATATAGGTGCCGAGATCTGACAGTCGTGTACGAACAATACAACCCGCACCTCCTCCCCGGGCAAAGGACGAGCGAGTAATGCCGGGGCAGGGTGGCCGGCGCGCGGGTATAATACAAAACGCTCTCTCCACGCTGTTGCTCCGCTGCCGACGTGTGTATAGCCGTCGTCGTCGTCTCTCCTTCTACGCTACTCTTAATATACAAGCGCGGCTGGCGTCGTCTCGGTAAGTGCGGCCGATACACGGACACACACAGACACGGGGGGATATACAGAGAGAGAGAGAGAGAGAGAGAGAGAGAGAGACTACGGCGGCGGCGGCGAGGAGGAGGAGAGTGAAAGTGAGTCTCTTGGCTCGAGGGAGGCCCGCTACTGAGCTATATACTATGAGCGCGCGGTGGCTTAGACCCGGACGGAGTGGTGGCATCGGGCCGATGCAGCTGTGCGCGGCCTTACCTGCCCGGCGTTGCAGCCCTTACTAGATATTATGACGTGTCTACGCTGGATGAGTATATACTAATGGGCTCTACTCTGCAGACTGCGGTCTTTGCAGAGGGGCTAATATCTCTTGCACGTCGTGTGCAACGGCCCTCTTAAACATACGCCGGGCTGTATATTGTTCCACGCAATTAGAGCAAAACCCAGTACAGGTACTGCAGTTTGCTCGAGGTACCTCAAATCCGATGAACACTGCAAAACTCCGTAAGGGTCGAAAGGGTATATACTTACGGAGGGTGGTGGTGGTAGGGGGTTTAAGTTCTGTAAACGGAGGGGGGGGGGTGAATTCATCGAATATTCAGTGCTGGAGGTCACTGACAAGCGCTCTCTCTCTCTGTCTCGGTCTTGCGGGTCGCACAATGCCGATCTTCGAGCCAGCCAATGGGGAGCAGCCCAACTCGTACCGAGCGCCTCGCCGATTGGCTGTCCCGGTTCTCCCACCGACTACCCTCTCTCTCTTTCTCTCTCTTGGTTCACGTACACACACTGACGAGTTTCATGTGCACGTACACGTACACATACGGGTGGCAAGGTGGTAGTGGTGGTGAGTATATTCTACTGCGGCTCAGCCCGAGCGAGTGCTGCTCCGGGAGGAAGTTCATCGGCCGAAACCTTGACTGAATTACCCCGCAGCGGCGGCCAAGGCCATGCCGGCAGCCCGAGTCAACTTGGGCGCGCGACGAAGGGGAGAGATCATATGTATATGTATATAGCGTATGCCTCACTCGCGCTCACTGCGTCTGCTCCACCACCGATCTCCGTATCACCTTAATTCTGCCGAACGAGATCGGTATCTGATGTACACATGTACATGTATATATAAATATGTATATTTTTTATTTTTCAATTTCATTTTCACCCTCCACGTTTTCATACCATTTATATACTTTTTCCGATACGGGTATATAAGTATCATATCGTGTTGTATATATATACGAGATGTATGTATGCACACGTGCAACGCGTCGCTTCGTTATCTTTATTTTCTCTTCTCCGCACCGAGGCCGCGGTGATGTGATTATTCTTTTTTTAGCGTCCCTCTCTCTGATCTTCCACTTTTATTTGAGCTTCTTTTTCGGTATATATACATACACACACGCTCGCTCTCCTTCTCGCAGCTCCTCCTCCTCTCCTTCTTTTTTTTTCTTCTTCTTCTTCTTCTTCTTCTTCTTTCGGCGCATGTGTTTTTCTCTCGATCTTCCTTTTTGGTCGTCTGATGCTGCTGCGTGTGCTCGTCCCGAGTCGAGTTCTGGTTTTCAGGGACTCGACGCGTGTGACGTGCCGCGGTGCATCCGAGACGAGCGCCTTTGTGTGCCTCGCGAGCGATACACTTATATTATATACACGATCCGCTCTTGCTTTCTCTTTCGCTCGTTCGTACTTGCATGTATGCATGTGTATACACACCTACGTACTTATTTGCACGTGTCCATGTGTAAGCGCATATAGGCTATGCGTGGGCGTGGACGAGCGTCTCTCGACGAGAAACTCGAGGTCTTTGTACCGATCGCAGTGTGCCGATGCATCAAGACACCAATCGCTCCGAACTTGAACTAGCTCGGAAATGGAGATCAACCAATCCCACCCCCAAAGTCCCTGATGCGCGTGAACAATCGTCGAGGGTGGAGAAAAATTTGGCAAAATGTAAAGGTCGACCCAAAAAACGTGGAAATTCAGGTCCCTGCTCCACATTGCGCATACCCCAGTGCACTCCTTCCCTCCGCTGCACACTTGGGTACTCTCGCGGCGTAGTGAGCGGGCCCGCGGGTTCGACGAACCTCTTTCTCACTCTCCCGCGAGTTCATCGAGCGCTCAATGCTGCAGCGACGAGGTGTATATAGGGAGAGGGAGCTCGCGCGCAAAAAACTTGTATATACATATACACGGCGAAGGGCGCACTGGGTTTATTGGGTACGCGGCAGCACCTGGTGTATATAGGTACACACTATGCACCTGCGCCCACCTCTCCGTGTGGGTAAAAACGAGAATTTGCGTTTTTTTTCTCCCCCCTTTCTCGGTTTGTGGATTTTTTTTTTTTTTCTTTCGGCTCCCGTGTCCTTCTTTCTCGGTTTTATTTATATTTATTTCATTTTTTTCTCAACAGAAGCACGTTCACGGTCGCGTTT